CTGGCTCTCGAGTTGAGAATGAAAACAAATCAAATATCATAGGAATTTTTTAAATTGTATTTATTCATTTATTTCAGATTAATTTCGCTCCTACAACTGAACAACGTGCTTAAGTGGATCCTAAACAAAGTCCACAAGTTTCTGAGAAATAATCCTTCAGACACTCGCTGAAAGCGGTAAGTTTTTCTACCTTCTTCTTCAACAACTGTTTGAAATCTTGAACAATCAAATTTACACCAACAGTTATGTACTGTATTTTCAGTTCAAGTAAATTCCACGATGTTCCCCATTTATGCAGGAAATAGTGCACTCAATCAAATATTGAATAGAGACGAATTAGGTATGATTTATTTTACAATATAGATAATATATACAGTAAAACCTATGATCTTCAGTCCATTGTTAAGTAAAGTTCGGCAGGTGTGGGAAAACCTGTTAAGATCTGCCATTTCTTTTTGTTCATTGTTTAATATAGGGTCAATACAGATGCATAAGCAAGCCATAATTATTAATATTTCTAATTTAGCAGACAACTAAATTTAGCTTTTATAAATAATTTATATTTCTGTTTAGAACAGAGTTCTTCGTTACCGGCAGCCATTTTGAACTTTGCATTTATGAACTGACGAAGTTCATATATGCTTTAAAAGATTTACTTTATTAAAGATGTATTTCTAATAACATAAATTTTCTTGTTCATGATTTATGTAATCAATCACTTATCTGAATCATTATTACAGTCTCTAGACTAAAATCATGAATTAAATACCTCATTTTATTGCTCTGTATATTGAGTCTGAATTTTACATATAACTCCGAAATTACTTATAACCTCAAAACAGAAAACAGTTATATGAGGTCTTTATTATGGGAGAATAAAAGAAGAGATTTTCCTTTAAAGGATTATTACGTTAATTTAAAACTGCAGGAAACAGATAATTTCGGTAGTCCAATTGGTGAAATTCTTGATATCAAGGATATATTTAAAAAAGTGGATGATGGACATACGAGAATTCTTGTATGTGGAGATCCTGGTTCTGGCAAAACTACATTGTGCAAGAAGATTGCGTACGATTGGGCCGTCGATAATCCCTCGAACAATTACTTCAGTCATTTTGACTTTGTTGTATTCTTAAGATTAAGAGAAGTTTAGTATAAGAGTGTGGAGAATGCATTTCTAGAAGTATTTTTGGAAACTTCATATCAAGCAGAAATAACGAAGAAAATACTAAAGGCAAATTTAAATATATTAATTATTTTAGATGAATACGGTGAAGGTGTTAATGATTATGATAGAACGAAAAATTTCCTAAATAATTCCTTTGGTATTTTTCGAAAATTGAGCATTATTGTAACGAGTCGTCCTCACACTGCAGAAAAAGTAAGAGAGTATATGAATTAACGATTTCATCTTAAAGGATTTTCACTTGAACAGCAGGAAGAATACGCGAAGTTGGTGTTCAAACAAGATGTTGATAAAACACAATCACTCCTTATATTATTAAAAAATGAATTTTACTTATCTTTGTCTAAATATCCGTTATTCCTGCATATGCTTTGTTGTATGCATAGGAGTAATCAATTAGAAAATGTTCAAGACAAGACAGGTTTGTATATTGATATAATGCAATTGATTACGAAGAGATTACGGAGAAAACTTAACAGCAATTTCAATTTGTTGATAGGATAGAATTTTCCTATGGAAGAAATTTTAATTAGATTAGGAAAGTTAATTTACGAGAAAAATTCTGTTAGAAAAGTGCTATTTTATCCCTTCGATGAGGAACAAAATATTACATTCGACGAATTAAATGCATGTGTGGATAACCATAAGAACATTACTGATTATGGTTTCGATTTTCTTGTTCACTGCTTTGACATTAATGATAATCCTTACTTTCATTATGTGCACGAGAGCATTAAAGAATATGTCGTCGCCTTGTATTTGTATAATAACCCTGAAATACCTTTCTTGAATGTCACCATTGATTCAACTGTACCACGTGTTACAGAGTTTCCAACTGATCACAATTTTCTTATATTTTACTTCGGTTTATTTCGAGACGATAAAATTCCAGAGAGTTGCTTCAATCATTTAGAAAAAATTGTGTTTTCGTTGAATCTTTCGATATTAATATACAACGAAATTTTCAATGAAGAAGACAGGAAAATATTTTCGAACACAATTAAAAAGTACGAATATTTTAACAATTCACGTATCAACAATTCTGACTGGATGATTCCTTCAGATTTTTCAGAAATATACTTTATTGTTGACATTTGCGAGCCTCCCAATTTTTACGAACGTATGTTTGAAAATCTAAATAAACTTCACGATAGAGTTTCGCATTCCTGTCATTTAGAAATATTTATATTTTTGAAAATAGGGGAAGAGTTTGTTCGAACGAAAGATACCAGAACAATGGAAAATAACTGGAAAAAGTTAGAGAACGTTCGAGATATATTGATAAAAAACACGTGGAAGAAATTTAAAATCTATTTCCGTGGAATTGTTGAGGTTCCTTTTGTGATTGATCAGATTGAAGAGGGAAGTCGACTAAATACATCCCCTGCATATTTGCTTAAGACTTTCAATTGCGTCGAAAATCCTGCAGAAATATTGGTTGATGATGTAAATCAATTATCTTACGAGTTGGTCAGATTGAAGTTTTCTACAAAAGATGAAATTGAGGACAATTGTTTACTTTTAAAGAAGGATCTGTTTGAAAGTTTGGAGTCTTTTATCAAGTTATTTCCCGATTTATAACTGCATTCATTGGAAAATTATAACACTAAATCATCCTTGCAATGCATTTGTAGTGTAGTAAAAAGTACACTATTTAATAAGAAATGCAAGCTGCACCATAGAATTGACCTTCTCGCTGATAGAAAATTATAAATTGATATTCATTTTAAAAGTATATTTGATGAGAAAATGTATTTTGTAACAACATAAAAGACAGCAATCTTTTACCAAATTACATTTAAGTGTAAATTAGCTTTTTACTTTCAACTTGATTAGGTGTTAGTTACTTGGTAGGCGATGGCAGGTATTGAGTAGAATTAAATCGAATTAGAGCCAGTTTTTACCAATAAATGGACGTTTAATGGCTGTTTGAAAACACATAGATTAAAAATTTCATTAAAAACTTTAATAAAAATTGAAAAAGAAATGCATCCTTTTTTTTTAAATTTCTCAAGGTTCGTCAGAATTTTACAAAAAAAAATTATCACTGAGATCAAAGCCAATTTGCATTAAGTTTTGGAGGGGTCTGCCCCATCATATTAAAGGTCTAGGACAGGAATGTTGACATTTTTGATTTCTGATTCGATACAGCAAGTATTCTTTAAAGATATTTATGTACACCAAACTTCAGAATTTGAATAATAAACCCCTTTTTTACCACATATTTTATTACAGCACAAATTTCTGTTTTTTTTTTTTCATTTAGTTCGTTGTAGTCCATCTTTGCTCTTCTCATTTGCTACAGTACTTTTTATTTTTTTTCTTTGGTGCCAAAAGTTGTACTCATAATAAGTAAAGATTCTGGTACCTGATGCACCTATTTCATGTGGATAACGTCTGATTTCTATTTCATGTTGATAACCTGTGATTCTAAGAACTTCCAAACAACGCTTGTAATTTTGTACACAAAATGCAGCAGAAAAATTCACATTTTACACTGTGTCATCACCCAAAAAAGTTTGGGATCCACTGCTCTAAGCTATCTCAGTTTGAAAAATAGGAACAATTACTTTTCAGTTTTTATCATTGATTTTATTTACCATGTTTTTTGGAGTCAAAGACATGATTTTTTATTCTGTTTTCTACTTGTTAGAAGTATTTAGAGTTACGTATCTAAGGAAATAATTGTTACATTTGAAATAAAATTGGCTTTTTCAGAAACCTCGTCCACAGACAGATTGCATGTGCTGCAATTCTGCACATGGCATTTGGTGTTTACGGTTTTAGATGTGAAGATGCCCTGGTACATCTGCTAAATTATGTCCAGCCAAATATATATAAAACATCGCCCCATTTGTTCCAGGCATTCATGGGGGCCATAGAAGGATTAAGAGTCACGCTCGGTCCCATCAGAATCCTTCAATAATTTCTTCAGGTAAACATTTCAATATATGAGTTGTGTGATGTTTCTAGGGTTTTTTAGATTCAAACCCCACTCCCGTGACACCAACATCTGAGCCACCGGGAGGGAAGAGGAGTCCTCTCCTTCCGGCCAGTGGTCGGTGACCTACTTTCTTGTCAGGGATGGTAGTAACGTTCGGTTACGCGTTACGCGAGTGGAGGAGAGTCGGAGGGGTCGACGAGAAGGCGTTGGCATAGTTGAATAAAGACACCATTTTTCTAAACTAACAATTTATTACAGACAAATAATAAAACAAACGTCCTAACACGGTACGTCTCATTCGCGTATGAGAGAGATAGCTTACAATAAAGCATTCATACCTCTTGCGATGATAGCGAAGGCCTTTAATTTCTGAAAGGCGGGATCCAAATTAAGGGTTGGGATCGAAGGTCTTCTAATATGTGGTGCGGCCGGTTAGAGGGAAGCGAATGTTCGTCTTGATGGTGCGATGGCGACTTCTTGATCAGCGACTCCCCGGAGAGGGGGAAGGAGGATGGCTTTTATACCTTTTTGGTGGGAAAATTCTTCAGGTGATCAATTGTTTTAGCAGGTGTGGGGTTAAAGGTGGTGTTAGAATGACAACAATATGACGAATTTCGCCGATAACTGTAAACTATATACGATTTGATCGTGAGAATGTTTATAGTTAAACAAAAAGAGTTATAATTCTCTCATGTACTTTATATTTCGTTTTTGTAGGGTCAAATTCCTATGGTTGAGGGCATTTTTATTTTAAATTTATTAAACTTTTAAAGGATTAAATGCTTTTATTAACCTCGAATTTCACAGTTGTGTGCAGAGATGGAATAGCACGTATATGTAAAATTATACTACGTGAATTTTTTGCAGGGTCTGTTTCATCCTGCCCAAAAAGTGAGAGACGTACAAGGTGTTATAAATTTTCCAATAAACATCGGTGGAGAGGACTCGTTAGTTGCCAGATATTCCAGAGTGGTCAACTACGGACAGAAGAACCATGTGTTCTATATGTCGATTTAACATTCATCTGGTGAATCATGCGTTGATGTTTGGTTGGTGATTTTGACGTTAATCGTAGTTTCGTCATATTGAGCAAAATTATCTGTGCCCTTATTTAGCGAAAACATTTAATATTACAACCTTTGAAAAGACAAGTCGAAGACGACTATTATTTTTTAAGAGTATGATATAACCGAACTCGATACAAATATGCATTTAATTTTTATTAAGCCCAAAAAAAAGGTGCATTTATATCTCGGAACTGTTATTATTTTATTGATTAAACAAAGATGCAGTCTTTAATCATTTTATTTTATTGCGTAGTTAATATTACATCATGTACTTCTTATACATAATAAATTTAATTTCCGTCACATTATTATGTGATATGGTTTAATCTAATACAAAATAGAGGTAACAAAGCATTTTACATGCACTTTAAAAGTTAAATTCTCTCCAATCCAATAATTAAGATGAAAGTGCATTTTTAATGTTACACATTATTAGCTTGATTACAATCCTCATAGAATTGCTAGTTTCCACTTTTGACAATGTGTACGAGGTGTGACAATTACTTTTCAAAGTGGCTGCATAGTGTTGTCTGTGACATAATTATATGAAAATGATATTCACATTTGTGTTTGAACAAGTGTGAACTTAAGTTCATAAATTTCAAGTTGATAGAGCAAGTTGTTAAACAGCTCATGGAAAAGTAATAGTTATCAGAGTGTACTTTTTGGCATAAAATTGGGTGGTGACCGAAATTTACATTAATGTGCTAATATGAAATTTTGTGTGAAAATCGACAAATGTGTCACTGAAATGTTACAACTGTTGCAAGTAGAGTATGGTGAAGATGCTATGTAAAAGTCCAGTTTATTCAAGTGGCATTAAAAAATTCAAAGATGGATGAGAAGGTTGCTTTGGGGTCACCTATTGATGGGGCCCCAGGCAATTATCATTGTTGTCCACAGGATGATTAATAATAATAATAATGCAAATAATAAGTACAAGCAGATAATTGAGTGAGGACTTGTAATTTCGACTGTGGTGTCAAGTTTAAAATTACCGCAAAAAACTTTAAAATATTTTCCACATGTTTGATCTAGTGAGTTTATAAATTCCGCTGTATGGAAAAAAATTGTGAGAAATCTGCTTTAATAACTTTGTAATTAAGGTTCCTACATCATCCAAAATATGTTTTCAAGCATGATTTCTGGAATATCTTTAAAGAAAAGAATATGATTTAATATAAAAATCAGGCCTATGCTATAAACATCGGAAAAGAAGCGAAATATGGGTCGATTGGCAACTTGAATAACTGTCAACTACCAACCAAGATTAAATAAACATTAAACTATTGAAGTAACATTGTGCTTCTTCCAGCTTAATTTTTTATGGTTTTTTTTAAATTCACATACATATTTTATGACATTTTGTATAATGTTACTTTGCCACTTTATCGTGACGACGTTACCTGGATTGGTAATTTCGTTGCATATTTGATATTCAAAATATGGAAAATAATCAACTTTCACGAAACAATTTTTAAAAAATTCTGGAATTTTCTCATTTCCAAACAGATTCATGTAAAATATCAAAAGATAGTAATTATCCGAAGCGCTATTTATTTCCATGATATCATATGATCCTTCGGTATTATGTAAATAAAGAGCGATGAGAAATGTCCCGAAATTCACATGAATAAAGTGAAAATATATATTTTTATCTTGGTCACAGAATGAAATAAAAAATTTCAAACCGAGAATAAATTCAAGTTCTTTCTCATCTGGAAAACATTCTTTTAATTTATCGAATGTAATTCTTTCTTCCCTTTTATAGTGATTTACTCTGCCCATAATTTGGTTTTGTTCATAAACTAGTTTTCCCAATCGAACTAAAAGATCTTCACCATAAAAATACTTTCCCTTCTTCAAATGGTTACATCCACCACTATCTCTCATATATTTCTCGATAAGGAATCCAAATATTAGAATAAACACTTCTGTTCTACTTTTGGTACATTCTAGTCCTACCAACTTATGCAAACAACACAGCAAATGTAACATTAATGGGCATTTTGATAAATGAAAAAGGAAATCATCTCTTTCTAAGATATACTGAAGACTGCGTGCTTTATCTTCATATTGTTTGAAAACTAAGCTTACATATTTACGTTGCTGTTGACCTCGAAATCCAGTGAGATTAAGTTTTATATCAAATGCCATCTTTATTTCTTCTGCAGATTCAGGACGACTGGTTACAAGAATCGCCATATTTCGTGAAATATCGAAAGAATCATTTTTTATAAATTGAATTACTGAATTTCTATCAGGAAATTCGTCGTAACCGTCTAAAATGATCAAGAAATTTACATCGGCATTCCATATTTTTCTCTTCATTCCCACTTCGTGATTTCCACAAACGGCTTCTAGAATTGCATGCACAATGCCTTTTCCCTGAAGATCTCTTAATGCCACGACAACAACAAAATCAAAATGCTGTAATGCACGATTATCAACGGCCCATTCGTATGCAATCTTCTTGCACAACGTGGATTTACCATAACTCGGATCTCCATATACAAGAATATTTGTATGCTCATCAGTAATTTTCATCAGCACCTCCTCGATGATAATCATGTCTTCTATTGGATTACCAGAATGTTCTGTTTCCTGCAGCATCAAATCTACATAATAATCTATTAAAGGGACAGTCTTTTCGCTGTACCAAAGTAAAGAATTCATGTAAGCACTGAATGTTCTATACTTGTTCCTAAGTTTTCCTTTGCATTTCTCTAATATTTCTATTAAAAAAAATTACAAGTATTTAACAATATAGCTTATAATACACAGGTGTGCAAAACTTTAGCAACAATTAATTTTTGCCTAACTCCTGCAAAAAAAATCGCCTGTAAGGCATGAAATTCAGAGTACAGAGACAGTATTTTATACATAAAGGATGAAGAAGGCATACTAACAGAGAAATGAATAAAATGCATACAGTGTGGAATCAAAGCCTCTTTTTTATAATCTTGCACTGCGTGAGCTTACTGCATATGTTTCTGTGCCCTTACGTCATCTGTGATCTCTTCTTTTTGAATAAGAATCATACTACTGAGTTGAGTGTTTATTGCACTGATCGCAACAAGCCATTTTCTACAATTCCATGGCTGCTTCCTTAAAAATTACATTGTTGCTTAAGTTTTGCACACCACTATAATTTCGTATTGTAGAAGTACGTTGAACTAATTCAAAAAAAATATACCGTGTATGTCTATTTTGTACAATTGACTGGGTGACGTCTGTTCTTCTACATTCGCTGCTTTTTTATCTGCAAGACATTAAAATCATTTTTTTTTGTTTATCATCTTATTTATATTTATAAACTTACCATTTTCTGTAAAAATCTTTTTTTGGTTTATGGAAATGCAGAACTTATCTCCAATTTGCATTTCCTTTGTATGTTTGGCGGTGATTTGTGGAGGATCGCGTATGGTAATTTCCGATGCTTCTGCGTGTTGCATTTCATTCTAAAATAACACAGACGAATATAATTACATTTTTAAATCGATAACTTAAATCTTCAATCTTTAATTGAATATCATTAAATAAATTTTTAGTGTGCACATTATTTCATATAATTTTTATACATCGTAATGTTTAAAAGTAAATTTATGTTTAATATCTATTTCTTAAAGTTAAAACATTATGAATTTAGAAAAATTTAAATTAAAAAGTGATAAATTATTTTAAGTAATAGAGGAAATGAAAGTTTACCTGTAGATTGTCCATGTTTTTTTTTTGGTCGAACGTGCAATTTATTATTATATTTGAGTATAAAAATCCTTCTGCCGTTTTGAACTTCTTTAACAGGATTGCACGAGCTTCTGATGTTGTGAAGTCAGCTCAATTTAAAGGTTAGTTTTTACCAACTGATCTCTACAAGATGGTATTTCTACTTACATAAAACATTACTTTGTTAACATTATACTGGCTGAAATATGTCAGAAGTGCATAAACGTATCGTATTTATAAAAATTAAATTGTAAATACAGTAGAGCGTCGATTATCCGAAAGTCAATTATCCGAAACGTCAATTGTCCGAAAGAATTTCAGTCCGCAAATTTAAATTTTCACCACTGCTGTGGAGCTGCAATCTTTGGCTATGTCTTGGGCTACTCAAATATTTTACGTTTTTGATACTAAATTAACTTCTGAAGTAAAATTTTTTATTGTTTTTTTATTTTGTTTGTACAAAATAAAAAAATAATTCTTAAGGATACAATAGTCTTTGTTAGGCTTAACATCGACGAAAATTCAACGCGAAGCGACACGCAACGGAGAAAAATTTCAACACGGGATAAATTAATGTTTTTGTACATAATCGGTTATCCGAAAAATCAGTTATCCGAACCCCCAGCCCCCAATTAATTCGGATAATCGACGCTCTAATGTCATGCAACAGTTATTAATTTTTATGATAAAATAATAATGGAACATCAATATCAAAATGATAGAAAGTCAAACTTTAAGAAATCCCACAAGTCAGCCAGCTCCTAAACTACAACCTGTATTGTGGCTGTTAAGGAACTGCGTCCAAATGAGAATAATGTTTTAATTTATCCTGTAGAAAATCCAGGAAGGTGCTTGAGGATATCCAAAAAGAAATAAATACCCACAATATCTCTCTGATTATTCATTTGTACATCGGAGAGGCAGGTCGAACGTTTTCTTTATTAGAAAGCTCATTTTTAATTAATCCCATCTCATTTAATTAAATTAATTATTCTAGCCAAGAATACCTTTGCAGCTGTTCATCCCTGTCTTTAAAAAAATGGAGGACATTTTTTATTTTCACTTTTGATAGAGGAATAGCCCAACGTCGGTGATGAAAGAGTAGGTTATTCCTATAATTTGTGAGGGTCCTCTTACAAAACACGGCTCGAACAATAGGTATTATGTATTCTTCATCAATATTAATCGCATTCATACAATTTATAATGGGTGCAGACAATTTTCTCCCATAGCTACAGTACAAGTCAACAGTGTCTACGAAGGAGTATCAATTCCTGTTTTCTCAGAATTATGGTTTTCCCACGATATTACTGATACATCACGTAAACGTAATAAAAAACGAAAATGGTGTCAATACATTTTTTGATTTAAAATTCACTAAGATTTAGAACAAATTTCAGCATGTCTCCTCAGTAGTAGTGGTTTGAGAAGTTTTGATCACTAAATTAAAATTACATAAAAATTTTTAAAATTAAATTAAAATTGCAAATAAAAATTTGTTGAATGGAATTATTTCAGATCAGAAAATTAATTTTTTGATCACAAGTCTTGATTAAATTAATTTTATTTTAACAATAAGGAAACTTTAATGTATTCTTTCTAATCATTATAAGATTACTGTAATTTGCAATAATAATAATTTCAGATAAAAAATCTCTTGAATAAATTAAGATTTTAAATATTTAGGAAACCTTTCAATTTATTTTAGTTTTCATAAAATATCTTGTAACAATAAGACAAAGTTTCTGTATTAATTTATTAAATGTTTTAATATCGAATAAAATTAAAACACGATAATTGTATGAAATAATATAACACCAAAACGAATTTTTTTATATTTTTATATGAATGGATCAAATAAGTTATATTTTATTTAAGCTTTTCCAGTTTTTTCATTCACTTTATTTAAAACATGACATACCCCTGGTCTAATTTCTCATACAGGTAACCCCCGTATAAGACGGTACTTTTATAGCACGGATTTACTCTGACACGGTTCGAGAAATGGGTAAAACCCTCGTACAACATGAAATGTAATAAATTTTTACATACTTAAGTACTAATAGTTCACGAAAATAATAATTTTAGTGAACTATTAGTACTTAAGTATGTAAATTTTCTTTTCTCGTCTCCATACACATGGTCCTTCGCGAAAAACGAAATTCGTATAATTTTTAAATTATTATTGGAGATTAACTGTTTTCGATTCATTTTTAAATATTCAAGGTACGGTTTAAAAATATTAATATATAGTAAAGTTCATTGACTTATTATTCTAATATATACATAACTTTACCTATAACTATTTTTTTTTAAAGTATTTGTTATATTGAAAAATGATCTTAAAATATTACTGAATGACTTTCATATGATATAGTGTTTTGTTTTAATAAATTTTGAAAGTAAGTATTTATTATTAGTATTACTTTAATATGAGAGATTACTGATTTTGAGGCATTTGCAATGCATTACAATAAAAATATCTGTTTAACACATTGTTCTGGGAGTTTAGGTTTGTAGTAAGATATTTTAAAGAGTTCAGGAAAAACTAATTTTTTGGCTTAGACCTAACTCTAGATAAAAGTAAATCTTTCGAAAATCTACAAGTTTAACGTCAATTTATAAATGTGGTAAAATTTTAAACTAAATTGATGAGTTTATAAAATATAAAACTCTGATGAACCATGTTATTCCACGAACAATTTTTGAAAGTTTGTTTTATAAATTTTATCAGGTTCATTCTATAACTATTGTACTGTAGTAAAAAACCTGTCAATATCTTTTGAATTTAAGTATAATTACAGCTGTAATTTTTATTACAATCAACAAAACTTTAATCTTATATTATTTTAAATTGCTGTATTTTAAAAATTATTATTATTATTATTGCAGATTTTCAACCTAATTTTCTAATATAGAAATGATTAATGATTTCGAGGCATTTATGCTTCACGACGAAAATCTCTGCTTAACACCCTGTTCAGGGAGATTAGGTTTGTAGCAGAACATTTTAAAGAGTTCGGTAAACTGATTTTTATAATGAATCTATTATTTTTTTTAAAATTGAACATTTAGACAAAAAAATCGGCAAGACTCGACAATTATTTGCATGGTTTATATCTATCATATGAAAAACAAATTTTAAGGAATTACAATCAGAGTTTCGTTTTCTTATATTCTTTAAACTGTTTCTTAATTATATTTAAATAAATACTCAGTAATATACATTTAAATGTATAGAAATTAATTAAAATGATAATATTTATTGATAATAAGTTAATATTGAATTAATAAATGTAATCATATTATATATAAATTTTTAAGATGTATTTAAAACTTATGTAATTGTAGTACTTTAATACATAACTAATACAGATAGCGTTACAATTTTATTATGTTTTTAGTTAACTTAATTAAATAAGTTATTTTTAAAATAAATTACCTTATTCTTGTAAAACTTATTTTTGAAGTTGGTTGATATATAATAATTAGTGGTGTAACGAATAGTAATATTCGGCCAGTAGCGTGGCCGAATAGCCGAATATTCGGCCAAACTATTCGGCTTGATTAACGCACGTACGAAAATTGGCACGCGAACCTCATTATGGTAAGAACCCTGCTCTCTTTTCTCCGTTATCACCAGGCTATGAGTCATGTAATTGTAAAATGGGAAATCTACGACGGAAAAGTGACGAATCGAAAGTATCGTCAGATCGTACTATATGGACTAGAGCGACAGAGGAAAGAGAAAGGGAAGAGCGCTTAAAAAGAAGGATAGGCAGGTTCAGACCTCAGATATGCGACGATTCTCAAACGAATAGGTGTGTACGTGTGCTGATCTTTGTAATTATACATTGTGAATACATGTGACTAATATTATTATTTTTTATTTTGTGCATGTTATAAGTTATAAATAAATATAAACAAACAACACTCACCCAATAACATTAAATCTAAATACCAATATGATTAATTTACTGTGTTTTTGTTATTTTTCACTCTCATTTTTAGGTATTCGGTATTCGGCCGAATATTCATTACATCACTAATAATAATATACATTGAGGTGAAGTGAGTTTATAAAAAAAAAATGTATATAATCAGAGTTTCATTTTATAAATTTAATGAGTTTATCACTTAAATAAATATTATTTCAACGAAATTATGGTTAATATAAACAATATAGTAATTCAAAGTTTAATGAGTTGGTTTGATCACACAGTATAAATTTGATTTGAAGAAAGGCACTATTTTAATATTATTATTATTATTATTGCTACTGTACAATTTGAGTTAAATTCTTATACTTTATAATCTTTTACTTTTATTTCATTATAGTAACTAATTTTTTTAAATTTTAATAACAAGTTTCATTTCAATTCAATTACAATATAAATTTTAAAAATTATATTTTTATAGATTTCGCATTAACAATGTGATAAAATGGATGAAATAATTGTTATTTTCTTATTAAATATAAAATAATACTAATACTAATTTTTATTTATGTAAATTACAGAATGCGATGATAATAGATTTTGAAGCATTTCGAGTTATCGACAGTTGACCATAAAAACATTACACAGCCTTATAAAAGCTGTAATAGACATTTATATAAATTCTGTTAAAAAGTATCAAGTATATTTTATAGCAAAAAGAAGTTCGCAGATTAAATTTTATAGACAAAAAACTTTTTATAAACTAGAACTACAATTAGAACTACATGTCTAAGATTGAATAATATTAAAAAATTTGTTATTACCGCAAATATTATAAAAAGCATTGTTCTTTTTACGATATTTAATAAATAAGTAACAAACATAATTTAAATAATTATTCTGTTGAACTATTTCCGTATTTTACTTTGCCTTATTGTTATAATATCATTTTAAGTTGCCGTGTTTTATTTTACTTGCATATTAGAACAAATTTTAAAAATTATTATTGTAAATTAATTTTATAATAATTAAAAAGAATATATTAAACTTCGTCTATTAGTTAAAATAAAATTAACTCAACTCAAATTTATAAAAAGATTAATAATTAATACAGAAACTTTGTCTTATTGTTACAAGATATTTTAAGAAAACTAAAATACAGTCGACCCCCCTATAATTACGGTCCCTATAATTACGATTCCTATAAAACTACGAAAAAATATACGTATTTTGGAAATGTTGAGTCGGATTAGTGTAGAATCGATTAATTTTATGGAAGAAAACCTTTCAATCAGCCGTAGTCCATAAACTTGACACGTGTCGGGCTGTGATTGGAACGACTTGTAAGAAATCGGATTCCTAATAATTTGGAACGTATCTATATCTTATAGGGGGGTCGACTGTAAATTGAAAGGTTTTCTAAATATTTAAAATCTTAATTTATTCGAGAGATTTTTGATCTGAAATTATTATTATTGCAAATTAATTTATAATAATTAGAAAGAATACATTAAACTTTCCTTATTGTTAAAAATAAAATTAATTTAATCAAGACTTGTGATCGAAAAATTAATTTTCTGATCTAAAATAATTCCATTGAACAATTTTTATTTGCAATTTTAATTTAATTTTAAAAATTTTTACGTAATTTTAATTTTGTGATCAAAGCTTCCCAAACCACTACTAGGCCTACTCTCCTTCTCTATAAACCACTGCAATTTGGCTAAATATTTCTGAAATACCTGGTATACATCCGAAATAGCTGCAATACGCACCGTTCCTAAAACAGTAATGGGTATGAAACGATTAAGAATGGATATGATCATTTCTACTGGGTCTTATCACAAAAGACATTTAATAATTAGAACTTAATTACAACAGTTATCCAGCAATTTATAATATGCGCCACTACAGTTGGGATTTCGGTAGGAAGTCAACTCTAATTTATTCTTGTATTTGACTTTTGTCAGGTGTTCAATTGCTATTGCTGCAATTGTCTACGCCTTTCGGAAGATAATTATTATAAAAATACAAGAATATTAAGACTCTTTTTATTAATAATACTATTAACCGTAGCATTATCAGTAATGGAGCATTCAACGACTATGCCAAGAGATAAACATAGCTACCAAAAACTTAATCTAATATAGAATTATATTTTAGTTATAATTGTAATTATGTTTCAAAAATGGCCATACTTACCGTATATTTTTACGTACTCGAAAAACGAAACGAACTGAACCGTAAGAAGCAAACTTCTGCAGTCATAACGAAATTATACAAAAATGAAATATAAATTATATTGAAAATATAAATTCGAACTCGTAATTACTCTATATAGCTTTATTACTTACCTTAGAATAAATCAAGAGGGAATGAAGAACCAGACTACGCTATCCGACCTATTCGTTTCAACTGTTACGTGGACGACGTGGTTCGGTTTTGTGACGTAATCAGGAAAAATAGTTCTTTATATTTGCAGGAATAATATATTATAACATATATAAATTTTATTATATTTTTTATCATATCAACTGTAATTTCGTGTAATTCGTAATGATAAAGTTAATAATACCCGACAGTACTTGGGTACAACCACCTGTACTGTATTAATTGCACGTGTTTGCTTTGTAAAATGACTCACTAGCCTACCTTTATAGAATTTCTGCTGACGAAAGATTGCTGAAATATTTTTTATAGAATTGTGCGTACTAAATTCTATTTGTTTTATTATCGTGTCGAAAAATATCACCCGAAGATTTGTACATTTTTAGACTGCGAAACAAATTCTTTCAGTCGCGTGACTGACAGACATTTCAGAAGTCACATGACTCGTCTCTGTACGAGTACTCAGTCCAACGAGAGAAAGCAAATTAAATTAATGGCACTGCAAGCGTGTACTGCAGGTGAGTCGTGTTGTGTCTATAACAATACACATACTTCCTCCAAAATTTTTTTTCTTTAGATCAGTATTTTTAACCGTTTTTAAATCGCGAGCCGTTAATTGTAGGCTACTATAAACCATGCTTATGTAAAGTAAATGTGCGTAACGAAGTACGTACAATAACTACGCATTACTATTTAAACGTCACCCATAATTGCACCAGTTACAATACAATCAAATATATTTTTATGAACTGCCAATAATGATGAAAATCTTCATCAAGGTCAGACCCACTGGAGATACGACAAGTGACCTCTTTTACTTATAACCATGAAAATCCAATAGCATCAATACACAAACGTCCCTGCAAAATTTTATTTCGTAGAAAAGGCACAGCAGTTATTATTCTTTCAGGTGAACAAACAAAATCGTGCCCATTACACACTTTAGCATCTACACATACAGAAACATCCCCAAAGTTATGTTATTATTATTATTACAGTAGAGCGTCGATTATCCGAAAGTCAATCATCCGAAAGAATTCCAGTCAGCAAATTTAAATTTTCGCCAGTGCTGTGGCGCTGAAATCTTTGGCTATGTCTTGGGCTATTCAAATATTTTACGTTTTTGATACTAAATTAACTTCTGAAGTATAATTTTTTATTGTTTTTATATTTTTCAATATATTTATTTTGTTTGTACAAAATAAAAAAATAATTTTTAACGATACAATAGTCTTCGTTAGGCTTAACATCGACGAAAATTCAACGCGAAGCGACACGCAACGGAGAAAAATGTCAAAATGGGATAAATTAATATATTTTTTCATACATAATCTGTTATCCGAAACATCGATCTTCCGAACAACTCCATTCCCCAATTGATTCGGATAATCGACGCATTACTGTATTTTTTTTTTTTTAATTTCTCTTCGCATGTGCTGTATGCTTAAGAAAAAGTTTTGACTGTCAATATACCTTTTATATAAAAACAAATACGCAATAATAATTTATTCTGAGTTAAAATATATTATTATTGCATATTGATTTTCATATAAAAAGTATATCGACAGTGAAAACTTTCTCTTAAGCATGCAGAGCATGCTAAGAAACACAAAGAATTTACCACTGCGGTAGCTTTATTAGTAATCTGGAATTCAACAACAACACCAAGAGATGAACGAGGATACCGAAAAAATTAATATAATTATTAATTCAAATTAAAATAAACAATTATATTTAAGTTTTAATTGTAATTGTATTTCAAAGATACTTATTAAATGCCTTTATTTATATTTTCACGTATTGAAAAGATGCACCGAACTGAACTGTAAGAAGCAAAATTCTAATATTGCTGCAGCCGTGAGGAAATTACACAAAAATTGAGTTAAAATTGATAGAAAATATAAAATCGAAAACGTAATTACACCTATATAGTCTTATTATTATTTTTTTAAATAAATCAAGAAGGAGTGAATTACCTGATTGATCAATCCAAACTATTCCTTCCAACTGTTATGTAAACGAAACAACATTTACGTAACAGTAACAATTTACTTTATCGGGAAAAATAGTTACTTATTTTCGCAGGTGTAATATATTATAAAATATCTAAATTTAATTATTTTTCATTCATATAAAACTGTAATTTCGTGTAATTTGTAATTTTCGTGCTACAGTTAACAATACCCGATATTATTTGGATACAACCAAATGTATTAATTACACGTGTTTGCTTTGGAAAATGGCTCAGTGTCCTATTATTTTCTTATCTTTAATGAATTTCCGGTAAAAAAAAATCACCCCCGAAAGATTTTTACATTTTTGGAGTCGGGAGACTTTGAAAGGTCGAGAAATGTAAATAAGGAAATAAATAAAATTTGTGTATGTATAGATGCTAAAGTGTGTGATGGGCACGATTTTGTTTGTTCACTTTAAAGCATAACTGCTGTGCCTCTTCTACAAAATGAAATTTTGCAGGAACGTTTGTGTATTGACGCTATTGTATTTCCATGGTTATAAGTGGAAAAGGTCACTTGTCGTATTACGAGTGGGCCCGACCTTCATGAATATTTTACTCATTATTAGCATTTACAAATTTTTTTTATAAAAGTAATCTCTACCCTGAAAATTATTTTTTTTTGCCATTTAATAATACTTAATAACATAAAAGTTTTTTAAAAAATGTCATATTAGATAGTGCCATGCATATCTTTCCCTTTTAAATTATAATTGCCTTACAATTAGAAAGATTAGGGACTACAGTTAACCGAAAACGCGAAAATAAATATATAAATATTAATAATTAAAATGACATCTGACTTATAACATCTGACTTAACAGAATTAATAAAACTTCTAATACTATTTTCGTCTATTGGTAAACTCCATAATTTTTCCCAATTAACTAATATAATGTGTTTCTATAAGAAAAAGAAATTTATATTAGGATATATATTTTATTATTTTTCTATACGTATAAAATAAAGCATACATTTTAATAGAGGTTACAGTATTGATTTCACGAAAGACAACAATATTGATTTTACAAAACACAACGATATTGATTAACACTTTTCAGTACAATTTTTAAAAATATTTATTACAATTAATAGAATTACATTTTATAAAATTTTTATCATACAAGAGTATTGTTGTCTTGTTACTTACTATAAAAAAAATTTACAAGCATATCTTTTATTTTATGCAAATTTTAATAATGCTGCGTTATTCTTTGCCTGTTTTTACGCAAAAATATGTTTTATTGCAAACACCATGCCAGTTTTAGAATTTCGTTTTCTCTTGTATAATATTAAATGTTTATATTAAAAGGATGGCAATGATATCAAAGAATCTGTAAGAGTTAAAAGTAAAGGATATAAATATCGAATGATATTACATCCCATTATACAAAAAAAATTTTTTTATGATAAAGTGGGGGAGAGATATTTTTTTCTGAAGATATGTTGTCACCGCATGGTTTTTACTTTCAGTTCTGTATTTTTCATGTTTTAACAGTTCTGTATTGAATAAAACTTTCTTATATTTTTCATAATTGAAAGTTGTTCAACAGATTTTTTTGTTTCTTTAGCTTTTGTTTCGATTCTTATTTTTATTTTTAATATCAAAAACTTGCTGCAAGGACCCGCTTCGCTGAATTTTTATTTGTGGGCAAAAAGTAACGATAGTGAAGATTAAGATAATAACATTATAGCCAATCTTACCCGTTTTCACAAAATGCAAGAATTAGGTTCCCGATTTCCAGACAGAACGTCTCCTGTTCACATCCAGTTAAACAAACTATTTTCAATTTGATCAATTTTCTGGAACGTTAACAATCGTTCTATAATGGAACTAATTCTAATTTAAATTCGAATTCGAAAATTTTAAAAATTGAAATAGAAAATCTTCAACTTTCAACCACTTTTAAGCCCATATCTCCTGCACCCTTATAGCTATCGAGACGCGACCACCATAGTGCACGAATGGAGACTTGGGCTACTACCACATACAAATACCATTCATGTGCGATGTGTAGTTTTGGCTAAAAAGTGAAATATAGGGACACACACGTTCATTTATATATATATATATATACAAAATCTTATATTCTTATATATATATATACGAATTTTAAATGTAAATCGTTTTGAATGTACAGAAATAATCTGAATTTTTGAAAATCAAATGGGAATCATAATCTGTAAACTTGAGTATAGTAAAATTAAATTTTTTTAGTCGATAACTTAAATTACAATTAGAGTAATACCTCGGTTTTTATTGACTTCGGTTATCGTCGATGTTTTTTCGCGAAAAATTTGTCTCGGTTTTCGTTGATTGCCTCGGATTTTGTCTGCGTGTCCAAGTGACTTCGCTGCTAATTTTGTGCAAACAAAGGTGACCCATGCATTTTCCGGCTCAGTATAGCGTTATAAATAGTTGTGTAAGCATTAGCCCGCAATGGCCCACCATTGGTAAACGTTTCCGTTCGCTGAACACTGGGAGTTCGGTGGTGGGTTCGCGCTTTTCAGCACAGGCTGGTCAGGTGGAGTTTTCCAGGTTTTTTCCACGTCTGTAACGCCTGAATAGAGGCCAGTTGCCTTTATACAATCCTCCCGGAAGGCATTAACACTATATTAATTCTCTATAAAATGTGTTTTTGTTATGTATTTTTGAGTGTCTAGAACGAATTAATTGACTCATTTCCTGAGGATACAGACATGTTCTGTTGAGTTCTAATGTTTAAAAAAGGCTATTGTCCAACCAAGTGTTTTTTTTAGACAGAGATGTGGTTATTTTAGAACACACGTGTTCTTAAGGAAAAAGATTTAAAAGAAAGCACGTGTTCTTAAGGAAAAAGATTTAAAAGAAAGCATTGTTTTGACTCAGTGCCTGAGGTATCAGTAATATTTTATTCTTGTGATGATGAATTTCCAAAAAAATTGTTAAAAATCATTTTCGTTTATCAAAAATCCTTGGTAATAACGTTTAATTAGTATCGTACTTCAATAAAAAGCAGTGCATATTTTTAAATCTAAATACCTCAGCATCAATTATAAACAAATT